CAGCTACTCGGGAGGCTGAGGCAGGAGGATCACTTGAGCCCAGGAGTTTGAGGTTGCTGTGAGCTAGGCTGATGCCACAGCACTCTAGCCCAGGTGACAAAGTGAGACTCTGTCTCCAAAAAAAAAGGGAGATTATAAAGTACGGAGGTGTTGAAGACATAGTAGCGCCAGACTGGCCCTTTCTCCTTGGTATAATCAGAATAGTTGAAAGTGGAAAGTTTCTATAATTCAGTATCATGAGGACCCAGGCCGGTGAACTGTCTAAAGTGATCTCGGTACCAGTGCGACGCCCAGCCACACTTCACCCCACACCTGGTGTGTTCCTGGGCAAATATTAATAGTAACTGAGAATTCCCATGTGCCAGGCTCTGCGCTCAGAGCTGGAGGCACAAAGATGCGTCATGTGAGGTCCTTGCCGATTTGTTAGGGGCCGTGGCGATCAGTGGTGGGCGGGAGGCAAACCTGAGGGCCGTATGCACACAGAGGGGACACCTACGCCAGGCAGGAGGGGAGGCTGGCCACAGGAGGCTCCTGGAGGTGCTGGTTGTACCTACAGCCTTTGAAGGAATTGGTTTCCAGGCCAAGAGGGTGAGGAAGGGCTTCCAGAACAAGGAGACAGCAGGGCCAAAGGCCTGGAGGGGAGTCCGGCAGGCTGTGGTGTGTGTCTGTGTGTGTGTGTATGGGGAGGGGGCAAGGGCGCGGTGGACGTGAGTGGCTGGGACATAAAGGACGAGGGGGTGGAGGCAGCAGTGAGAGGCGAGGCTGGAGAGGAAACAAGGCTGACAGCTGCTGAGTGGCGCATGGACAGGAGGAGCCAGGCTGGGACAGCCGAGCCCTAGATGGAGGCTGCTGGGACCATCCATCAGGTGAAGGCTGGTGGAGTCCTGGCCTTGGGTGACATTGGGAATGGGAGGTGAGCAGGGCTTGGAGGCATCTTAGCGAGGGGCTGGGAGGGAGCTGCTCAGGCCAGGCCCTTGGGCAGAGTGGACTCCGAGCCCCTGTCTGGAAGCCCTGAGTAGCTGCAGGAGAAGGCGGACTCCCCCACTCCCTCTTTTCTCCCTCCTGCCTTTCCACACCTTAGACCAGCTTGTCTGCCCCTCTTGGTGCCCAGAGGTCTAGCAGACCCGCAACCTCAGTCACCTGGGCTGTGTAACCCAGAAACAGCGAATGCTCCACACCTTCCTGCTGAAACCCCACAACGGAAAAGCTTGAAATCTGTGGTGCTCCTGCCGGAAGGACAGGAAGTGGGCTGGTCTCATTCATATTTGCACCTCAGCACCCACAGCCCGTGTCCAGCACGTGGGAGGCACTGAGTGCGTGCGTTGCGTGAGTGGATGGTGGGTGGATGTCAGCATCTTGCTCATGTTGTTTCCCATATGCCTAGCGGGCTGCCTGGCACATAGGATGTACTTATCAAATCAAAGGAATGAGTGAATGAATGTCTCAATGAGGGAGGAAGGAAGGAAAGTAGTAAAAAAAGGAAAGAAATAGTCTTTTGACTTTGGTATCCCCAGGGCCT